GTTCCCATGGAAGCCAGGGTTACCTCAACCCCCTTGTTCCTACAAATTTGCTTCCTATGACCCTGGTGGTACGCTCTGCTCCCAAGTGCAATCCCTATGTTGCTGTGCATGGCATTCAATGTCACCTACCCCCTGGGCTGTGAGTACATATGACTGATAAACTGCTATCTGTGTCACCTGCCCAGCATTGGGTGTCCTGTGTTTGGCCATCCCCACAGTGCTAGAGTGGGAATGCCCCACTTCACAAGGCAAACAGGAGGTGATCAAAACTGGCATGATGAACAGGATGGCTCAACCACTACTGAAGACACTTGCTTAGCTTTAACTAACGTGTCCTTCCTATTTAACCAGATTGGTGATACGGTGAAGGCCACTTGCGATGGGTCCACTGATTGCTGGCGGGCTGGTGCTCTGTCGCGCATGGCCGTGTTTTATCTCTCTGTCAGGTGTTATCTTTTCCCACCCTAAAATGCTTTCACCCCCATGTCTGAAATTGCTATGAATAGACAATATCCCAGTACGACCTGCTGTCAGGCTCGTCTTGTGTTTGGCATGTGGTCTTCTGAGGTTTCCACCAGTGAAGGTGGCAAAAATATAACACTTGCCATGGATTAAATGTTTGTGTCCCCCCCCAAATTCATATGTTGAAATCTTAACCGCCAAGGTGATGGAATTAAGAGGTGAGGTGTTTGGGAGGTGATTAGTTCATGCAGGTGAAGCCCTCATGAAGGGATTAGTGCCCTTATACCAGAAATCCCAGACGGCTCCTTCACCTTGTCCACCATGGGAGAACACAGGGAGAAGGTGCCGTTCTATGAACCGGGAGACTGGCCCTTACCAGACACTGAATCTGTCAACCCCTGGCTGTGGACTTCCACCCTCCAGAACTGTGAAGAATAAATTCCTATTGTTTACAATCTATAGCATTTTGTTTTAGCAGGTGGAATGGACTAAGACCCTAACTGGTCAGTACTTGAGCTCCCCTTACCAAGAATCAGGCTGCAGCTTTCTGGTCACTGCATCCAGCCTCTTGACTGTCCCTGATGTCTTGGAGCAACATATGGACACTGTCATTGTGTACCCCCAGCCCAAGCCCAGGGAGGGCCCTTGGTGAGGTTTGCAGATAGATGGGGACCACCACCCTAGGGAGAGTTCAGCATGGCCCTCTGCCTGTTGCTGAGGCAAGAGCAGCAACCCTGCTTGTCCTCTGTGCTGCTGCATCTCTTCCTACTGCTCTGCATGTTCTCCTGACCCCAAAAGGTATCCTGGTGCACATGCGTGGCAGCCCACAGCCCAGGCACTGATGACAACAGAGGCTGGTAGGTAGTCAACTGCTCTCCCAGCCCAGAACCTGTAGCCAGTGTTCCCTTTGCTCAGCATTGATGCCCACCAGCATGACATGGGCTGGCCCCGTGTTCACAAGACTGATGGCTACCACTTCGTCATAGACAAAACAGTCTTACTGGGTCTGGACCTTGACTCCAGGGAGATTAATGATTTCTAGAGGAAGAGTTGGGCCACCAGGGCCCCAAGCTTCCCAATGACCACCCAGAATATCCTCATTGCGAGTGATCGGATGGAGAGAGGAGCTAAAAGCTGTGATAAAAAAAAAAAATTAAATTGATACAAAGGTCCAAGTTAGCTCAATTGGGAATCTGAAATTTACTAAAATAATTTATACAAGTAAAGCAATAAAAGGGCACTGATTGGCTTTTGTGCCTTTATAACAGAGGCTCTGAATTAACTTTAACATCTGCTAAAACGCACCAGTTGGCAATCCTTCATGATAATTACACATTTATTTTTCAAACAAACCATATTCCAGAGTGCTTGTACTACTTCACACTGCCACCAGCGATGTTTGCATGATCCCATTCCTCTGTGTCCTCATCAGCATTTGGTGTTGTCACTCTTTTTCATTTTTGCCGTGTAGACATGTGGCACACAATTCCTTCCTTGCATCCAGCAGGTGGAATGGAGTCCCAGGGCCGCCCGAAGGCCCGTCTTTGCGTTCTCTGGCTGGCTGGGTGGCATCGTCACCCTGGCGTGGCTCGTCTCTTGTGTGCAGGCTGAGAGCGCTGGAGGAGGAAGGTAGGAGTAGGAGTCCCAGAAAGCAAACGATGCGCAAAGCCAGCCAGCGAACAAGACAAAGCAAAACAGAAAAACTGGGTGGTTTCATTGTGCTGTTGTTGTTGTTTATCTCGCCCTGTTCCTAGCATCCCTTGGAGAGTTCTGTTTTAAGAGGCTGCTCCTGATGGATGTGCTGATCACTGCACAAGGCTGTGAGTTGAGAAGCAGAAGGCCCTGGCGGTTTGAGGTGCCATGGTGGGTTCTTAGAGGGAGAGATGACAGTGGCTTAGTGTGGCTCTTACTGTGGAGATTCCATGGGTCCAGTCAGCCAGAGAGTGGAGACCCAGCAAACAGGGAAGGCAGGGAAGGGACTTTTCATTTCATAATGAGGATGCTGTCCATAAGGGACTTTTTCTGATGACAGATTGAATAGGTACAGTGGGAGTCCTTAAATGTGGACGATTTATCCAGGCACATTTCTCAATGGTTTCCTAGGTTGGAAAATTATACAAATCCCTAATATTCCCACCTGCTTAATATCATCTTGTTCCTTCGAATTCTTCGGGTGCTTTGCTGATGTAGCTGACAACAGCTATATATCCATATGGGGTGACCAGTAGTTCATATGTTTTTCAAGGAATAACTTTCAAGGAATATGTTGTTATCACATCCAAATCAGGTTTTCTTCATCTGAAAATTACTTTTCTGAGAGATTGTGAACAAAATTCAAGATTCAAATTCTGGACAGGAGTGTCCATTGTGTGGTTGGTTTGTTTTATTTGTAAGTCTGCTTGTGGTCATGGAAAAGGCCCATACGAACCCTTCTGACTCAATTTATATGGCCAACTGGGCACAGCCTTCCCAGGGGTCTGCTTGTTAATCCAGCATTAGCCATGGAAAGCATGTTAGCACATGCAATCCGCGGCAGTGGCTATTTTGAGGTTTCTGAGTGAATCTAGTTAAAACTTCTTGAACCTCGGGAGGATTTTTTTTTTTAACCATGGTAAGTCTAGAGAATTTGTTCCAATTTTCAACAACAACCTCCTAGGGAAAACATGTTTACTGCAATCTTGAATTAGATTCATCAGATCCAGTAAGTCCTGAGCCGAGGGTTTATTTGCACCTATTTAAGAGTTCCTAGGGTGTTCTTTGGGATTTCGGTATGAGCCCCTTAAACTGGATTCTCTAAAGGGAGATAAACAGCTCTGCTCCTTGGAGATGACCTTTAGAGAAAATGAATACAGAGATCTAGGTGCTTGACTCCTGAGTACGGATAACTAGCCCAGAGTGCATCTGTCTAGTTCATGGAAAGAAAGGAAAAGTTAGGAAACTTCCATTAATACTCATTTAGACCCATTTAGCACCCATATAGTGCTTTGCTCTATACTTAATGCATTATTGGATATTCAGTAATGAAACAGCATAGGCTTTTTTCTCCTTAGAGACAGGGTCTCACGCTATTGCCCAGGCTGGAGTGCAGTGTGCAGTGGCAGGATAATATCTCACTGCAGCCTCTAACTCCTGGACTCAAGTGATCCTTCCACATTAGCTAAGAGTACACATGCGAGCCACCACGCCCAGGTAATTTTTTTAATTTTTTGTAGTGATGGGATCTCACTATGTTGTCCAGGCTGCTATGAAACTCCTGGCCTCGAGTGATACTCCCGCCTCAGCCTCCCAAAATGCTATGATTACTGTGTCCTGCCAGGATAGGCTATTAAAACTTGCATTTTCTGTCTCAGAGCATTCTAAACACTTTGTTTTCTACCACCAAGCATAGATACTTCTCCTCAACTATAAATATACATCTAACTCTGTGAAATCATAAGAAATATCTGTCCCCAGTTCCTGGCACAGATTTCCCAAATCCTTTGGAATTTCCTGGGTGACAGGAGCATCTTTTGTTGTAATAAGGCAGTTATCCATGGCCTCCTGGAGGGGCTGATCACCAGAAACACCAAGCCACGATTGGAAGCTTGGAACCTTCAGTCTGACCTTCCCCTGTCGTCTGGGAAGGGGAGAGGGGCTGGAGATTGAGTCAATGATGTTCTATCATGCCCACCTGATGAGGTCTCCATAAAAATTCCTGAACAACGGGGTTCTGGGAACTTCTGGGTTGCTGAACACATCCATGTGCTGGGAGGGTGGAGTACCCCAGCTCCACAGGGAGAGAAGACCCTGCACTTGAGATCCTTCTGAACCTCTCCCTATGTATCTCTTCATCGAGCTGTCCATCTGTGTGCTTTGTAATATCTTTTATAGCAAACTGATAACGGTAAGTAATGTTTCCCTGAGTTCAGTGAGGCTTCATAGCAAGTTATTTAAACATGAGGTGGGTGCTGTGGGGATCTCCAATTTGTAGCCAAGCTGGACAGAAGTTGTGGGTCACCAGGGGACCTAGTGCTTACAGCTGGTGTCTGAAGTGGGTGCAGTCATGTGGGACTGAGCCCTTAACCCGTGGTGTGTGATGCTATCACAGGCAGATGGTGTCAGAACCGAGTTAAACTGCAGGACACGCAGCTGGTCCGCATCAGCAGCAAAGTCTCAATGATCTCGTTCCTGTGTGCACAGAGAATCAGAGCATTGCTCTGTGTGGGAAACCCCCAAACAACTGGTGTCGGAAGTGAAGTGTTGAGAGTGTAGTCAGAGGAGAAAAGTGTTTTTTTTTTTTTTCTACTATGCAACCCCCAGCCATTATCTGTGATGAAACTCACACACCGACTGCTCCCCTTGCCTGGGTGCCAGTGGCCACATTCCCCAGCAGCCTTCAGCTGCCACCGCACACGTGGAGACACGTGTGCCTTGTATGCCCTTGTTGCTGGAAAGATCACTGTTCCTCATTCAGGTGACTGTCATACTCGCTAGCACACCTTGTTCACTCTCCTGTCCACCTCTTACCTCGCTTCCCCCTGCTTCCTGTTTGCATATAGGCTTCCCTGTGGACTTACTGCCTCTCCTCTGCCTGGTGACCCTTAACCTTCACCTCTGACCTCCCACCTCCCATGGAGCCAGACATGGACTCTTTAGGAATCTTCAGGCAGCTTTGCATACAACAGGTAAGTCTATTTCTGCCCAGCTTTTGCCCAGTAGAGGAAAGGTGTCATCTCTCCGCACAGTCAGGAAGCCCCGTGGAAACCACCGCAGAGAGTGACTCTGAAAACATGTTCACCCTCAGGTTCAAGCTGTGCTCAAGAGCTCAGGCTTTGCTCCTTCCCCGCCCTCCTCCTGCTTAGCATCATCCTATGTCTTAATCCCCCAAGGCAGCCCCTTGGGCGCCAGGTTTAGCCTCCCCTAGTGCTCATGTGGCTCATGTACGTTGTTTTCAGAAGTGCCCCAGACTCCTGAGAGCTGGGAAAGGCTTTAGGGAAAGCAAAGGCATTGTCCCATTGTCCCATGAGGCGGACGCAGCCTGTGGACACCTCCCACTGTGCCACGGGTCTGCAGAGTTCTTATGTTTGCAAAGAGAAGCAGCCTCCCGGAAGTTTCAACTTTCTTAATCTCAAGATGCCTTTGTTGATTAAACTTTCTTGCTATAGTTAGTATTGCTGCCAATATTGTTTCTGTTTCCTTTGGGTAGATTCTCCAGGCATATGTGAGAGGGTGGGATAATGTCTGTGCTTATGCTTGACATTAAAAATTCTGGCATCAGATCACTTACATTTTGACAAACAGATGACATGCTAAGTCTGACATCAGATTTCACAGACTGGGCTTCATAAATATCCTAATATAAAACAAGTGCCATGAGGTCAGCCTGAGCCTGGCCATGAGCCTGAAGCAAAGCCGGATGTTTGGTGAGAGGAAGCTGTCGCGGTCCCCAGGCGCAGCCTCTGCTCTTGCTCCCGTGCGGGATGAGCTGTGCGATTCAGACAGGGGACAGGACATGAGGTCTCTTTCTCACACTCAGCCTGGACCACAGCCTCTGCACGAGACTTGCAAGGAGTTTGTTTTGTTTCCTTGGCTGTGTGTGCTCTGGGGATTTGCCTGTCTCTCTTTTTCGTGAACTTTAAGAGTTCTCTCATTGAACATACAGTTGACCCGTGTGCAGTGTGTAGTTTTTCACTGTCGACAGTCTTGATTGCATGTCGCTGTGATTTTGTCAGATGAGGATGGACATGCTAAGAAGGCTGAGATAATACCTTTCACCTGCCTGGAGAAGCCCAGAAAATACTCCAGTAGAGCACCTCTCTTTCCTTTGTACCCTTGTCTTTTCTTGTCTTTATTTTTCACTCAAGCTCTAGAGTAGACATTAGAAAATATCTGTGGTGGAGACTGGCTAGTTGTTCCCTAGAGTCTCTGCTGCCCATTACACAAGAGTGGACCTCAGAGCTTCCCTTGAGGAAAGACCTGGCTGAGTTCTGACCCATGGAATGCAGGACAAAGGATGCACATTGGTTTCAGGAATAGCCCATGAAAACCCCCACTACTTCTCACTCTTTCTTTTAACATAGGTGCAGATTATTCTTTCTTTGCCCCCTGAGGTCCATTCTGCATTCTCTCTTTGCTGCCACGTGGGAGGGGCTGACACTGAGACTGCATCACCGAGAGTCCTTGCACTCTGGCTTCAGACTGGGTTCAGCCCATGGGCACCAGCACTGAGGGTTTTCAGAGAGAGAGATGTCAGGCTGAAATGTCAGAAAAGCTGATGTCACATAGCTGTTCTCCAAGGCTCCAGCTCTCACCAGCCCCAACACTCGGTCCCCTCATCTCTCTAAGCCAAGATGGTCGCTGTTCCAACCATTGCTACCCCTGGGCATTCCCCCAACCTTATCATCCCTGTGGGTGCATTCACCCTGCTGTGCCTCTACAAACTGCTCTTCCAGCTAACTATTAAGGTCTGCATTTGGACACTTTGTGAGTGCAAGAAATTCCTGTTTGTTGCCAGGGTTCTGATTCATATAGTAAGCGGAACCACGAATAGCCCCAGAAACAAACCGTCAAATGGGATTCCAGAATCAGGATGTTCATGCATTCGATGAGTGGTCACAGGACCTCTGTGCTGGGGAAAGGTGACACTGGTGCCCACAGCGTGCAGTGGGTGCTGGAGGAGGGTGGCACACAGTGGCTCTGGTGACCATGGAGGGCTGGAACCATGGGGTACCTGCTGCTGATGGTTCCAGAACTTATTGATGAAGGGCAAACTTAAGAACTGAACACCTGATTTAAGGCACACGAGGAATTGCAAAAAATCGTAACGCAAGCCACGAAGGAGCCATACCTCATACAGCAGGCCCAAGGCAGAGAGGTCACACCAGTCCCTTTTGTTAGAGTGGAGTCCATAATTGAGAAGGAGAAGGACCTTAGGCTTAAGATGGGGGCAACCGGACAGAGACTGAAATCTTTGGAACTTGAAAACCCCTGGAATGTCTTTGTCTGCAGAAGCTTATTTGTGTATTACTGCAAACCAGGCAGAGCGTGCGATGTGTCAAAATGGGGAAATGAAACCAAGAGCGAGCTAACGCCCATCTCAGGTGAAGAGGAGGGGAGATCAGAGGCAGCTTGCGCTGTCTGATCTGAATTATTTGGCAGAGTAGGAAATAAGACTTGGGAACTGAAGATACCTCTTTCTCAGAGTTGGTAGTTCAGGTATGGAAATTCTGGAACTATCAACAAGGATCATTATTTACCTAAAGCCAGTTTCTCCAGGATGGTACTGTGTTCTCAACATCGCCATCTGACAATCTACCTGTGTGTCACATCTGTTCTCTGCAGAGCTCTGTTCGTCGCATTAAGGGTGGAAAGCATGACCTCTGCCCTCGGAGTAGGTGGCAAGAACAGAGGCAGTGAGACTCACAGGTTCAGGCTCGCTGCACAGCGGGTTCAATGGAACCAGCGGTGAGGAGCCTTTTCTGCATGCCTAAGCCGGGAGTGTTTTCTCTATGCTCATTTGTTACTCCGACATAGAAAAACAGTTTCTGCTCCTGGCAATCAAATCTCTCCAGTGCAGACCTCTGCTTCACACTGGAGGCAGTCATCACTTCCCAGAATGACATCGATTTGTGATAATGACATGGAAAAATGCTGAGCTGTGCTCACATGATGTTGCATGAACCTAAGGCAGTGTCTGAGTGAGTGTGTGTTTGTGGGTGTGTGAGTGGGTGCGCGTGTGTTTGCATCCACAGATACACGTTGGAAAGAATACCCAACAAAGCTGTGTAGTTGCGTGTGAGTAATAGGTTGTGAGAGTGAGTTTTGCCCAATTCCTTATAGTTTTCTTAGCAGCATGAATTTGCTACATGCAGTTGTAATATCTCTATGTTACAAGTGATTAATGTTATTTTCCTTTTGAAGATAAAAAGAAGTCCGCATCCTGTGTCCTCCCCAACGCTGTGTTTCTGCAGCTGTGCGCCACACGGCCAGTTGCCTCCCAGGTTGGCCACATGGGGTTGCCCAACCAGCTGCTTTGTGCAAAAGGGGCACCCCACAGCCCACCAACACCTGCTACTTCTCCATAGGAAGGGAGCTGGTCTGTCTGATGGTCTGACAGCCCTTCGTGACCCCACCTAGGAGACCTTTCCGCACCGAGGACCATGAAGACCGTGTCTGGTCTCAGCCTTTGCACCACCAGGCTTGGCACAGGGTGTGGCAGAGAGTGTGCGCTCAACACATGCTTCCATGTGACCCCTGCCAGTCAATATGCTTCCAGCAAATATTTCAGTATCCCCTTTGTTCAAGACACTGAGCCAGGTGACAGAAACACAATCGTGAGCAAACATGGAAATAGCATGTGCTTTTAAGGCGCTGACAAGCTAATGAGAAAGATAGAAATTGAACAAACAACCCTACAAAAATGAGCATGACAGACTAAGTGCTATAAGACATCAGAGTGGGGTTTCTGCTGCTCCTAACCTCCACATTTTTCTCAGTCAGCAGAAGCCAAGAGGACCCCTAAAATCTGTGTGGTTGCAGCAGTCCCACTGGCCCTGCTGAAGCTCTTGGTGTGGAGGGGCCAGTCTTGGTGACAGGGACCCAGCAGGCCCAGCTCTTTAGGGAGTAACAAGACCTGAGCCAAGGTCTCTGACAAAAACACAATGCAAGGAAGAAACCGTTTAAGACCAGTTAGAACCAAGATGGTGATGAAAATGACCTCTGTTTGCTGCCTATTGCTCATTGTACCCTACTTACAATGTACCAGCATGCTAACACGAACTCCCGCCAGCACTGTGACAGTTTACAGTCACCATGGCAACCCAGGAAGTTACCTTACATGGTGTGACAAGGGAGAGAATCCCTGAACTCTCCACCCTTTCTCCAGAAAACCCATGAATAATCCACCCCTTATTTGGCATATGATGAAGAGACAGCCATAAACAGAGTTCTCCAGCAACGTACAGGGGCTGCTTAGTTGTCTATGGAGTAGCCGGCTTGCTGCTTGTTTGTTTAATAAATTGTGCTTTCATTTCCCATTTAAGGCTCACACTTGAATGCATTCTTGCACAAAGCCAAGAACCCTCTTGGCCTTTATGCCGGACCTCATTTTGGGGTCCACTTTCTGTGTCACCGTGCTGCTCTTCATCCTTGCTGGTCACGGCCACACGGAAGCCCAGGCCGGCCCTCCTCCCATCCTTCACACCAGGTAGCTTTAAGTATCCGCTTTCCTCAACACCCTCCTGCTCCCCAAACCCTTCCTGTCAGTCAGTATCTGTGTTTCATTCACCCAGACTGTTTCTCTGAAGTTCTCACCTTTTTGTTAGGATGGACACTTCTCCCATAAGGATCCTGCTTTCCTCTCACATGCTCCCAATCCCTGGGGTGGTGGGGTCCTAGGTGTCCTTGTTGCCTTCATTGCTAATTCTGGGCTAATACCCCCCTCCTCCCTAGGAGCCTCCACTTTGCATCTCCTGCTCTCAGCTGAGAAAACCCACTGCTTTATTTCTGCAGCAATGGCAGAAGTATTCAACAATTATTCACTTCCAAACTGTTCCTATCAGAATTCTAGTTGCTTCCAACTTATCTATTATTTTATATTTAAATAGTTGGACAGAAGTTAGACCAAGCAAACAGAAAGCATGGGAAAGCCAGCATAACTATATTAAATTCAAATAAAAGAGACATC